ATGGATGTGGAGAAGAGAAGACTGAAAATTAAACAGGTGCAACTTATAAACAGTAGGAGGTTTTGCTTCATCACTGTGTATCACCTAAGACCAGTAACTTCCCTGGATATAGGTAAGGGTTTCCAACCACTTCAAATGATTAAATGAAAAATTGTCCTCCAATATCTATATAAAACTACATGTCTAGATAAGCTTACCTTGTCCAAGAGTTGGCAACAGAGCAATCCGTCTATTATGGGAAGTGGAAAAAATGGGACTACAGGCAGGATCAACAGGTAACAAAAAACATATTAATGGAAAAAAAAAACAAAATTACTGCATTCATGCTATTGACAAACTGCATTATAATGTCATTTTTTAGTTCGCTTCTAGTTACTTTTTCACGTAAGCTTGTTCATCAAGTAAGACAATTGTTTATATGAATATGATTAAAAAACACAAAAAAAAAAACTAGTAAAAACAAATCTGATATTTAATTACAAAATCATGAAAAAAAGATAATTTAATATAGAACAAAATTGAATAACAATTGTTGAGTAAAAATGCAATAAATACTTTCAAAGCAAACAAGATTTTTTAGATGTTATCATCTCCATTTCTCATAATGCTATATAATCCTTGCCTGTGATCTTACAAGGATGCCTGTATGTCAGCATTGAAAAATTGACCTCTGTGTAGTGCATATAATTTGATGGAAAGAACTTCACATATATAAATCTCTTCCTAGTGACATAAAAGGGTAATTTATTGGCTACATGTAACATGTCTGTAAAGTAAGCATACATTGTTGCCTACAAAAGCAGATCTAACTAAGTAATCTATTTTGAATTAGATTTTGTAAATCTGCATCAATTATGCAGCTTCGGGTCTTTAAAAACACCTGACATTTGAAATGCCAATGTGCATAAATTTAGAGAACAGTCTCCTCCTTGGAATAAACCAATTATATGTTAATTGGTCTTTGCTGACCCTCACATCGACTCCCTGAGGAGACCTTGCTGAAACAGTCAATTCAATGAGCTGTATGTAAAGAACTGCTTGTTATGCAATAGAAAATGTTTGTTTCACAAGAAAGTAAATGAAACTTTGTTATTTATAGACCAAGACTAAGGAAATCTTGAACGGGATGCTTATATCAGACAGGCATTTTGATTTGCCATGCTTGGCTTAACAGTGTCTATCACATGTTGAGCTGCATCAGTTCATAAGGGACTTGTATAGAGATTGATTTCTCCATCACAACAACAACGTGAGGGAAGAGGACCTCTCGCCACAAGTGCTACAAGCCGCATCTTATAAGTGGACTGCTCTCCCCCGCACTTGATTGACAGGTAGGGCAATACCTGTTTAAATACAAATAATACAGCTCAGAAGAGCATACCTGATCTGTGGTGGAAACTGACATCAACCCTATGGCAAAGCCAATACCTATAACAGAAGAGCTTTGGCCCAAGCAAAATATGTTTCTTTATTTTTTAAAGACAGAGCTTTTTCCACTAATATGATCTGTTAGTAATTTTGATCTCCTAATGCAGACAACCAATATGATTTGTGAGACATTCTGGCACTGCTCCAAGCTGGGAAACAAAAAGGAATCACCTCTCCGGCATCATAAGAGGGAGCGGTGTCTGCAAATGATTCCAGCAGCCTTCATACACCCAAAAAAAGGACAACGCTCCGACCAGCCCATGGAGTCCAGTATATGCAATGGCCTCAGCCGCTGCTTTGGCCACGCCCATGTTCAGAGCAGCGGCTGAGGCCATTATATATACCAAACTCCACGAGCTGGTAAGAGTGGTGTCCTTTTTTGGGTGTCTAAACCACAGTGAACAAAGACCACAAATAATTTTGGGTGGCATTCAAAGTATTTTTTTAGTTTTTGATTTAGTGGGGAAGACTTAGAACTTTAGTTTGGTGTTTATTGCTGTGTTCCCATTGGAGATGTTCCTTCTTTTCACGACAGGAAGTAAAGGAGGTGCAATCCCCAACTTTCAAAGTTGTCAAAAGGTCAGGTGCCTCTACTGTAAAAGATATACTCTACTCCTATTTCTGTAAAGTCCATGAAATGTTGAAATTCCCCTCAACTGCTGTCCTATTGGCAAGGGTCAGCATGCCCATTAGTAATGGTAGATCCCTCCTAGAGAAACAGATATCATTTTGGATTTCCCCTCACCTTCTGTCCTATTGACAATGGTCACTATGTATTTATACACTCACTGGCCACTTTATTAGGTACACCTGTTCAATTGCTTGGTAACACAAATTGCTAATTAGCCAATCACATGATGAAGACGACTTGCTGAAGTTCAAACCAAGTATCAGAATGGGGAAGAAAGGAGATTTAAATGGCTTTGAATGTGGCATGGTTGTTGGTGCCAGATAAGCTAATCTGAGTATTTAAAAAACTGCTGATCTACTGGGATTTTCACGTACAATCATCTCTAGGGTTTACAGAGAATGGCCAAAAAAATAAAAAAATATCCAGTGAGCTGCAGTTGTGTGGATTTGTTGATGTCAAGGTCAGAGGAGAATGGGTAATCGACTTTAGCTGTGACATTCAGATGGTAGGGTCAGAATTTGGCGTAAACAACATGAAATCATGGATCCATCCTGCCTTGTATCAACCAAGTATCAGAATGGGGAAGAAAGGAGATTTAAATGGCTTTGAACGTGGCATGGTTGTTGGTGCCAGATAAGCTAGTCTGAGTATTTAAAAAACTGCTGATCTACTGGGATTTTCACATACAATCATCTCTAAGGTTTACAGAGAATGGCCCAAAAAATAAAAAATATCCAATGAGCTGCAGTTGTGTGGATTTGTTGATGTCAAGGTCAGAGGAGAATGGGCAATCGACTTTAGCTGTGACATTCAGATGGTAGGGTCAGAATTTGGCGCAAACAACATGAAAGCATGGATCCATCCTGCCTTGTATCAACGGTTCAGGCTGGTAGTGGTTGTGTAATGGTGTGGGAGATATTTTCTTGGCAGTAACAAGGTGTACCTAATAAAGTGGCAGGTGAGTGTATATTTTAGTTACTAATATAGCGCCGTCAATTTACACAGTGCTTTACACATATATTGTACACTAACAGTCCCCGCTCTCAAGGAGCTTACAATCTAAGGTCCCTAATTCACATTCGTACATACACACATTATGGACAATTTAGACAGGAGCCATTTAACCTACTAGCATGTCTTTGGAGTGTGGGTAGAAACCCATGCAGGCACAAGGAGAACTTTCAAACTCCAGGCAGGCAGTGCCATGGTTAGGATTGAAACCAACAACCCTAGTGGTGGCAGGTGGAAGTGCTAACTACTTAGCCACTGTGCTAGTATTGGTAGATACCTCCTAGAGACACAGAAAGCATTAAAAAAAACCTTAAAGATTTTCTACCCTTTCTTTATCCAAAGCTAGAAAAATGTTATAACTGGAGTTCTATTTTGGGGCCATTGAAAGTAATGTTCTGTCCAACCTTACCATTCCATTTACGATTAACACAGGAAATGCAGAAAGGAAATCTATTGGTTCAGGGAATTTAAAAAATTGTTAATTTATGATTCAGACCTGGTCAACTATGGCATGCCAAGAAGGAGTGGTCACACACAGATTCTATTTGTTTTCTTTCTTTCCTGTGTATATATATATACTGGGACAGTGATTGCTAGTGAAAGTGTAGTTGTTTATGTGAAACAACCATGAGTTTAACTAAAGTTGTCATTATGGCTGCTTAGAGTTCTACTTTAAACAGATGATCTGATTTATTTGAAAAAACAATTGCAATACAATTGATACAGCTAGCCTGTAGCATTGTATTACAAATAATTAATTATTCATTGTTTTTTTAATGGTGTAGTCACATAGTCCAGGGAGGTCCACACTACCTCCTTGGCAGTCTTCACTCTCCATGGTGACCTCTCACCCTCTTCTGAGAGATCCCACTTTTTCTAGATGGTAATTTCACAATCTCTAATCTCTCACGTTCTCTCATGGGCACTCTTTTAGTCTCTCTACGGTATTCTCACATTCTTTTTCTTGAGTAGTCACATACTCTCTCTATAGCATTTTTACATATCCTCCTACATTGTTGCATACTTTCTCCTAGGCGGTTTAAAAAAAAACCTCTTAAAGGGGCAGTCCCATTATACCTCTTAGGTAGTTCTACACACTCTCCTGTCTCATTTTATGTCCCTTACACTATACTAGCCAGTCCCCTAGTTTCTCAGCAGCAGTATTACACTTTTTTCTGGGTCTTGTATTTGGTTCTGGACAATCTCTTAAACTCATATAGCTTTTTTTAAACTTCTCCCTTGTGCTAGAGAACGCTAGAATAGAGCATGCTATTCGTGCTAGAGCATGAATAGAGCAGCTTAAGCTGCTGATGGGACATAATGCAAATAAGATTTTATAAAAATCAAGTCTGCTCTGTTATTTCTCTGCCAATGCAAGTGTCCCTATTGTCTGTCACATGTGTTTATAATTCCCAGCCTGAAATATTTTGCAACATTTCTATAGAGCTGGTAGAACCATTCATGTTATTTGCAATATTAGCTGATGTGCAGAGGATCGTGAGAGCTAATAAAGATAAGGAATTTCTGATTCCTTAGGGGATGCTTTTACAATTGCTTGGAGCTATTTTGCAACCTACTAAAAATGACCATACTAGCTGTACACATAGAAATTAATAATCATTGCCTTTGGTATCACTTATCAAGGATTTTTGTATCTGAAATACAATTTCATTAGCTTTGCTGACCAGGTGACTTGTAAGCTGCTCTTTTCACAATGTATTAGAAATTTAAAGTGATCTTAAATAATGAAATAAATTTTTTTTATTTTCCTTGCCAGACTTTTTTTTAATTCCAGCAGATTGTATAATAATTCTCTTGGATTCCAGAGTAGTGTTCCAGTCCTTAGCAGGAATTGCATTCAGACAAGGGTTCTTGGATGAAGATAAAGTCATGAATGCATGCTTGGCAATTTAGACTTCAGAAAGGTTTATCACCTTTGTCTTGAGAACAAGTTTCTAAATGCATTGTTATAATTTTTATTAAAGGCAGTATAGATCAATGGATTGAAAAAAGAATTAGAGTAGCCCAGCCATAAGAAAATACTTTTCCAGATAGGAGGAATGTCACAGGAACATAGAGGGTTAATAAGTTCCGTGATAAAGAAAGGAATCCAGCAGAGAACAAATACCCCAATAAGGATGCCCACCATGAGGGCTGCTCTCTTCTCCTTCTGTTCTCTCCATGTGTCCCCATCTGTCTGGAAAGTGACAGTGGCATGGCGGACTGTGAAGACCATCTGAGGCTGGTTGGATGCTTCTTTGACCTGTTGAAGGCAATAGTATCCATTACAATCATCTTTCAAAAAATATGTGTAACCTGAAGAATTTCTTCTAGATCATCCAACCTCAAAACACTGTTATGAAATTCATATTTTTTTTTTAAAGTAGTGTAAAAGGCAATGGGGATATTTAAAGAGCAGCAATTCATTAGAAACCAGTTGGTCTTCATTGTTCATTCCTATAAAGCAGCTAGAGCTAAAACATGATTTCTGATTGCTCACTGAGGCTACTGCACTTTTCACATTGCTCGATACATAATGAATAAGGGAAAAAAAAACCAATACATATAGCTCCTATATACTCTAGGAGATACGTGCTTGAAGCAAAATTACTTGAATAAGGCTTATGTTATAAATAAGGTTATGATTTAATTTGCTGTAATTATATAAATGGCAGTAAAACAAAAAGCTACAGTAGGCACTAAGGACTAAGACATTCTAGAGAATCTGCTACTGCAATGATGTAAAAAAAAAAAAAAAAAAAAAGCAGTACAGCAGACACATTCCCCCGCATACCTATGCATTTCATTCTGTAAAATCTTGGAAATGTGTGAATACTTATGTGAGTCATCTAGTTAACATACAGCTATATATAGGGACTTTAGATTACACATGTGTTTGAGACCTAAGGAAGTATTATATATAGGGCTAAGTACATCCCAAACTGGTACAGTATTTCCATATTGTGTGGAGATTTTATTTTGCTATCTATTTTGCTTGGGTCCCCTCAAAGCCAGATAGTGGTAGACTGAATCACCCAGTAGCTTCTTAGATTATGTACCCCAATGGTTTGAGAATCAAGCCCTCAGTTTAAGTCTCACTACTACTGCTGCATTCTGTGTGATTTAAATAAAAAAAAAACTAAAGTGGGTCCCATTAGCAATGGTCATTGCAGGTGAAAAGAGCTACAGGGATCTTGTTGGGATAAGCCAAATTCAGATTCTACCCAATGGTAAAATATCAGTTTTAGGGGTCTATCCTACCTTACATTTAAAAGAATACACGCATAGGTTATCATGACTGTAACCTGATCATATCACAAAATTTGTGGTTGAGTAAATGGTTAACATAATCAGTAAAAGAAAGAATTAACTAACCTCAATCACTTCTGGCATGGGTGTAATTGTGTTTGTTTTCTTTGACCCAATTCTGAATTTGGCAGCTTTGTAGATTTTCCAGTACACAAAGAGAACCACACACAAAGGAAGGTAAAATGCTCCAAAGGTGGAGAAGATTGTGTAAGAGGGTTCCTGGCTAACCTTACACTCCTCATTCACCTCTGAATATGTCTCTCCCCATCCAAACAGAGGAGACAGGGAGATGACAGCAGATAACAGCCAAGTCAGCAGGATCATAATATTAGATATCCTTTTCCTGGTCTTCAGAGTGTATTCCAAGTGTCTGGTGATGGACCAATACCTGTCCAGGGCTATAGCTGTCACATTCCAGATGCTGGCTGTGCAACACAGGACATCAAAAGAGATCCAGATGTGACAGAGCACCCTTCCCAGCCTCCACCGCCGGTCATTCAGCTCATGTACCAAACTAAGGGGCATTACCAAAGCGGCCACCATTACATCCGATATCGCCATGGAAGCCACTAGATTATGAGGGACCCGGTGGAAAGTCCTCACCCTCAGGATGGTCACCAGTACTAATACATTCCATAGGAAGGTGGCAATTACCAGCATAGCCAGTAGAGTTAAAATGAGGACGCTGAAGACAGATATGCGATGCTTGCTCAGATGATCTGACCCTAAGCTCCCATTAGCTGTGACAGTGATGTTCCATTCCATCCTCAGGTCTGGTAACATGAGAACTTACCCAGAAGAAGAAACAGCAAATAGGTCCTTGCCCATGAAAATCTCCATTCAGCTCTTGAGCAGCAACACATCAGTCACCAGCATTGGTGTAGGGTTCTCCAGGTTCCTATGACCCATTCAGCCTTGGCACAGTCCACATCCGGGCACAAACTTTGTACAGGATTCATGCTCATCCTCTGCATAGACATGATCTCAGCCTCCCAGACTTGTGATCGATTCAAACCTGAACAGCAACTCCTAGCATCAATTCAGAGCTGTCCATGGTGCTGAACTCATTACACAGCCCTGATCTCTGCTCAGCTCTATTGATTCAAAGCAGACAGTGGATAGGTGGCATGCAGAAGTGGGGTTAGCAGCTCGTTATGAAGCAGCCAGCCGACACCCTGCAAGCTTTGTAGCTGCTTTACTGTTCAGCCCAGCCTCCACAATCACACACAGCTCAGAGTGTGGGATGGGTGAGCAGAGCTCAGCTTTATAAAGGGGATGCTGGCTGCTACGTCAAAGTAATCTCACCCTCCCAGCAATAAGAGACTTGACACTATGGATGAGGAACAACTCCAGAATGACACATTCACCTCTCTGCTGTCAGATGCTAGGAATGCATGGCTTCCCATGTAAGCAACTGCTGCAACACAGATCTCTGTACAGTATAGCTAAGTTCTGCATTCTCACTACATGAGACTTTCCCATGGCTTCAATGGTTTCCAATTAAACTTGAAACTCTAATAAGAATGATTACAAAGAAAAAGAGGAGGGGAGAAGGAAAGAAGAGAGAAAGAGCAGAAGAAAGAAAGTGGTAGAGAGATAGAGTGAAAGACAGGAAAGAGATGTACAGCAATGAGAAAAATGGAGAGAGAAAGGGGGGAGAGAGAGAGAAGAGAGAGAGAGATCTAGAGAAAGGTGGAGAGAGAAGGGAGAGAGAAACAGAAAAAGATATATAAAGGGGGAAGAGAGAGGAAGCGGGAGAGATAGCTAGAGAAAGGTGGTCAGAGAAGGGAGAGAGAGAAGAGAAAAGAGGACAGGGAGAGAGAAAGAAAGGGGAAAAGGGAGAGAGAGAAGAGAGAGGAAGGAGAGAGAAGAGAGAAATAGGAAGAGAGAGAGGGAGAGAAGGTGGTAGAGAGATATAGAGTGAAAGAGAGGAAGGAGAGATACAGCAATGAGAAAAAGGGAGAGAGAAAGGGGACAGAGAGAGAAAAAAGAGAGCAAGATCTAGAGAAAGGTGGAGAGAGAAGGGACAGATAGAGAGAGAGAAAAAAAAGGAGGAAGAGAGGAAGGGGGGAGAGATAGCTAGAGAAAGGCAGTCATAGAAGGGAGAAAGAGAGAGAAAGGGAAAAGGTAGAGAGAGAAGAAAGAGGAAGGAGAGAGAGAAGAGAGAAATAGGAAGAGAGAGGGGAGAGAGGGATACTCTTCATCTATTCCCCATAGACTGCCCTAGAGCTAGCCCCCTCCCCCCCTTTCCCATACAAACCCAACTGCTTTGGGAATGCTAAAATGTATTTGGTCCTGCCAGTAAAGATAATTTGAATTTGAGAGCAAGCAATAGAGAAAGGGAGAAGAGAGGGGGAGAGATAATTATAGAGAGGTGGTCAGAGAAGGGAGAGCGAGAGAGAGAGAGAAAGAGAGAGAGAAAGAGTGAAAGACAGGAAGGAGGTGTACAGCAATGAGAAAAATGGAGAGAGAAAGGGGGGGAGAGAGAGAAGAGAGAGATAGAGATCTAGAGAAAGGTGGAGAAAGAAGGAAGAGAACAGAAAGAGAGATATAAAGGGGGAAGAGAGAGAGGAAGGGGAGAGATAGCTAGAGAAAGGTGGTCAGAGAAAGGAGAGAGAGAGATAAAGGGGACAGGGAGAGAGAAAGAAAGGGAGAGATAGAAGAGAGGAAGGAGAGAGAAGAGAGAAATAGGAAGAGAGAGGGGAGAGAAGGTGGTAGAGAGAGAGAGTGAAAGAGAGGAAGGAGAGATACAGCAATGAGAAAAGGGGAGAGAGAAAGGGGACAGAGAGAGAAAAGAGAGCAAGATCTAGAGAAAGGTGGAGAGAGAAGGGACAGAGAGAGAAAGAGAGATAAAAAAAGGAGGAAGAGAGAGAAAGGGTGAGAGATAGCTAGAGAAAGGCAGTCATAGAAGGGAGAAAGAGAGAGAAAGGGAAAAGGGAGAGAGAGAGAAGAGAGAGGAAAGAGAGATAAGAGAGACATAGGAAGAGAGAGGGGGGAGAGAGAGAGACTCTTCCTCTATCCCCCATAGACTGCCCTAGAGCTACCCCCCCCCCCCCTTTCCCATACAAACTCAACTGCTTTGGCAATGCTAAAATGCATTTGGTCCTGCCAGTAAAGATAATTTGAATTTGAGAGAGAGCAATAGAGAGAGAAAAGGGGGGAAGAGAGAGAGATGGGAGAGATAGAAAGAAAGAAAGAAAGAGATAGAGAGAAAGAAAGTGTGAGAGGGAGGAGAGAGAGAGTGAAAGTGAGGAAGGAGAGAAAGAGCAAGAGAAAGGCGGAGAGGGAGAAAAAAGGGGAACAGACAGACAAGAAATAGGAGAGAGGGAGCAAAAGAGACAGAGAAAAGGGGGAATAGGAGAGGAGAGGGATGAAAAAGAGAGAAAAAAATCAGTAGAGATAGACGAGAGAAATAGAAGAGAGGGGAGAGAAGGAGCAAAAAAGACAGAAAAAAAGGAGGAGGGACAGGAGAGAGATGAAAAGAGAGAAGGGAAATATGTAGAGAAAAGAAAGTGTAAGAGAAAGGAGAGAGAGAAAAACAGAGAGATAAAGAGTGAGATATAGAGATAGATAAAAACTGGAGAATGAACAGATGAAATAACAGACTGCAAGAAACTAACTACTTTCAAGTCACTGCAAAGAGACTATAAAGTGACCTTGTACCTGAAGGTGCTACAAAACCCCAAAGGCAGACAGACCCTGAGCCTGTACAGGCTGAATGCCCACAACCAGGAAATCAAATCAGGATGGGACAGACAGACCTTCAAGCAGTAGACTATGCCATTTCCTTCTACAGTGCCCCAAGTGCTCAGCAGTGAGAGACACTTGCTGCCAGAGATTTTCATCCTGAACTTCAGTTCTATAGAAGGAAAGAGGAAACTCCACATTCTTCAAGGATATGAGGAGCCAATGGTGATAATAGCTGCCCAATATGTCGACACATGTCACAGACTTGAAATTACATGAAAAACTATGGACTTATAAATCCTCTAGATGGTCTCACCCCTATCCTCCTTTACATTATTCCTTACCCTCATGACCCCTCCCCCTCTTTCTCAATTCGACCCATACAAACTCAGTGGCTTTGGCAACTGTAAAATGTATTTAGTCCTGCCAATAAAACTTATTTGAGGTTGACAGAGGAGACAGAGACACAGAAATGCAGAGGAGAGAGAGAGGGGGGTGGGAGAGCAAGAGAGAGATGGTGGGAGAGAGAGAGAGAGAGAGAGAGAGAGAGAGAGAGAGAGAGAGGAGGGGGGGGGAGAGATAGAGGAGAGAGGGAGGAGAGAGAGAGAGAAGAGAGAGAGAGAGGGGGGGGGTAAGAGAGAGGAAAGAAGGGGAAAGGGTAAGGACATTGGGGGACATTTAGTAAAGCGAGAAGGACACATTTCTGGTGCTATGGTAATACAGACACATTTAGTTCTTATTTCTCCATTACTAAGTGTCATTATGGCTATGACAAAATCAAAATAAATTACCTCCAGTTCAAAGATAATGAAACCAGGTGTAATTAAAGGCTAACTCGGCCTTTCATACGATGTTACATGTTACACCCATATTTAGGGTGGTGCCTTATTTAGAAATTTCAAGTTACCTGGAGTTGGGCTTTAAGCAGCATCAGATATTGGGGTGTCAGGGTGTCTAAATTACTGTTAGACACTGCCTGGTGGTACTTCTAGCAATCCACAGGACAGAATTCCCCAGAGCGCGGAGTCTAAGTCTCAGTCTGCTTGTTCACCAGGGCCCCTGATGGTGGGGATGGACTTGAAGCAGACAGTGACCAGGTCGCGGCCCCTGAGTACACCTGCCTGTGGTAGAGGGATCCGCCAGAGGTATACACTGGTAGAGAGCCTGACGTGAAGAGGCGGATAGGCCTGAGCAGTGGTGACCGGATCCATGCAGGATGGATGGATGGCAGGGTAGCGAGCGTGGTCAGATAGGCCGGGTCGGTAACAGTGGGGACAGCATGGTACAAAGCAGCAGGCAAAGAGTAGTCAGGTCACTTGCCGTGTTCGGTAACAGGAGTTCAGATCAATAGGGATATCCAGGAGAGTAGTTAAACGAGCCAGGATCAGAGCAGGAGATAGTCAGCAAAGGTCAGGATCAAGCAGGGTCGGCAACAAATCAATCAACAGGTACACAGGAGCAGGAACAGGGTAATAAAAGCATACGGTAACTAGTGTCTGTGCAGGGCTGGTTTAAATAGCGCGCTCTGCACTGTCATTGGTGCGAGGCACGCGTCCTCGAGTGCACATGCGCGGCCGCCTCCTAGGTCCAAGCGCCCGCTGATTAGAGCGCATTGGTGTTCTGCACATGCGCAGACCCATGCGCCTCCATGACTGCTGACAATTACATTTAGACAACATGATGGTTGAGGGATACATTTCCATTTCCATGACTGGCTTATTTTATCCAAGGTCCTTCAGGACGTTTATATGAAGTAGACAGTCATCCCATGATAAATACAAATGCTGCTGAGAGAGAAGAACCTACGTATATGATTCTTATACATCCAAATGTGGATGTGTGAAGGTGTCCCTTATTCATTTTACTTGGTGTACGTCAGAATGTGGCTTACAGGGAAAAGCTGAGGTGAAAGGGTATTGCCAGGGGCACAGAACATATTTGACAGTGTTAGATTTTAGGTTACAGAGGTTAGAGGGTTGCTGTTTTCAAAATTCAGTTTGCGGATCACTGAAAGCTGCTGGAGATTCACAAGCTGTTAGACAACCCATTGGACTTAGAGAGTACTGTATTTATTATGGCATGTTTGTGCTGATAGA